AAAAAGAGGTTGAAACGTTTGTTACAATGAACGTATATTGAAAATTGTCATTGGCTCGTAGCCTTTCTTAAATATTTTCTTTATTTTTAATAATAAGTATTTATTAAAAATATACGTATTAAAATGAATAAAAAAGGATATTGATAAAAATTAATTTATTAATAGATTAAATATTATCCACTATTATTGTTATGCCTAACGGCCAAAGTCATATTTTCGCATTCGCCGCCGCATTCACTCTTCCAAACATGCGAAAATACAGAAGACACTTTCTTTGGTAAAAAACTCTTTTTAATTGAACTCAATATTTACATACATATGTATATATGCGTGTGAATAAATTAATATTTCTTATATATTATTATATAATTTGCAGACAGTAAAAGTTTTTATATAATTTTGAAAAATATTATTACACTGAAGGATTTATTTTTTTTGAGTGGAAAATAAAACAAATGAACAAATAACATATATCAGAGATTAATTTATATAAAAATATTTTATTGCATATTTTCGTTATAAAAATAATACAAGATTCTCTCTCTCTCTCTCCCTCTCTCTCCCTCCCTCCCTCCCACTCTCCCTCCCTTTCTCTAGCCATAGCGTTATAAAATTTAACGAAATCTTATAATAATATACCAAACGAAATCAATTATATAAAAATATTTTATTGCACATTTCCATTATGAAAATAATACAAGATACTCTCTCTTTCCTCCCCTCTCTCTCTCTAGCGTTATAAAATTTGACGAAACCTTATATCAAACGCAACTATTGACATTGATCGCACGTTATCTAGTAATGTTTTTTGCATACGTTCACATAACAGTTCTTTTTGCATACGTTCGTTATATTCGTGTTGCAGTTAGGTAACATACTTGGCACTGGATTAGATAAAAATGCCTATTTGCAGACAATAAGTGACCTACTTCGACGTAAATATAACGCTGTCTTGTATGTAGTAGCGATAAGAAAAAAAAAAGATTAGAGCGTTGCGCATAGTTATTTTACGGATTTCGGCTTTTATTTAAAATATTTGTCATGTTATTTTGTATAAAAGTAAAATTATATATCTAAAAGTTTTATTATTTAAAACATAAGAATACAAGTAACTTGTAACGATATATTTTTCATATATCACATATATAAAAAAAGCTATATAAATTAAAACTTTTTCTTAATTGTACATGTTTATATTACGTTATTATACGTATTATATTTTTATGTGTATATTTATATACATATAAGTATAAATGTATGTATGTTTTTATTATGTATTTATTTAATATAATGTAACACTATATATAAATAACACTAGAGATACACGTTACTTTTTATTTACGTTTATTAATATATCAAATGATTTATAAATAATTTGTGAATAAAAGAATGAAAATTTGCGATAACGTGAAATTACAAATACCAAATTTTTTATTTCTATATATGTATATTGATTTTTATTTTTAATAAAATAATGTATATAATATATGATCATTAATATTTACAATAATCATATAATCATATGATTTAAGAAAAAAATAGATATTCAAGATGATTGAAAGAAATGACCTCTTCTGCCGTGAGAGCATCCATCATATAAAAGAACCATATGTAAAATATAAAACTATAATAAAAAAATGAATTAATAAACTATAATATAAAAAAATAGACTCTGAAAGGAACCTTTTCTATGCTGACACTTGACGCTCATTTTTAGCGTCAAAACAGGTCACATGATCGAAATAGACGCTCGATATTTATTAACTTTGATCATATATGGCTCGTTTTGGTACTAAAAATGAGCGTCGAGCGTTAGTATGAAATTGTACCTTTATACATTAGGAAATGCATATAAGGAGGATCGCAAGCTCTCGTTCACCGACAATATTTCCACATAAGTATACGTGTAGTGAAGTTCGCTGATAAGGATAAGCAGAAACAACACTGTGGGTAGCTGCCACCACGCGAGTCTAACGTATTCCCAAATACGATCCAAAAATATTGCCAGAAGAAAATAGTCCATCATTGCGTGGAAGTTAAAGATCTTCCATGCGAGGGCAATAGCCCAGAAAGAGGAACTTCTGAAAACAACAGTTTGTCTATCGTACAGATCCTCTCGGCTGATCGTCGAAGAGATGTCAGTCTCTAGAAGATCCTGGTACACGGATATATACCGGTTCCAAGCGATGCTTGTCAAAGAAAAATGGAGACCCACCATCAGCATGTTGTACAGAGGTGATTTCCAGAACGAGGTGGAGGAAACGGAATTGTGGGACGACAATGACGATGACGATGATGATAACGTCCGGATGGGCAGTAACTCATAACCGGCGCGGTGATTAGAGTTGCGTCTCAGAAAAAAGAATACCGCGACGGCGAGAGCAATGCAGCCAAGACCGTCGCAGACGCCATCCACGAGATAACCGATAGAGCCGACGTCCGATCTCTCACCCTTGACGTTAAGCCTCATCCTTGCCACATGGCCATCCAGATCATCCAGCCAGGCTCTGACTTGGAATAGAATGACACCTATCCGTCTGTAAAAGAGGGAACTCCGTGTGATGTAACGGGCGCCGATTAAAGCCACCGCTACATGAGAAACGCTGATAGCGTTTGGTGTCAGCCACATCCAGGAACGACTAATGCCTAGTAAATAATCTACTAGGGATGCCAGGGGACTCAGGACATAGTGATTAGGATGATCCAACGTCATGGCTTTCACTGTCACCGTGCAAATCGGATTTAGATCGCACAAGATCGGCGAACGATACGATGAAGCTCGCGTGTCATTCACGGATGGACGTACATCGTAGTCCTGCACTCGGAAATAAAGTAACAAATCCATTCCGACGAAGTACAGCAGGAATAGAAATGCCAGACACGTCTTACTGATAAATGCCGACGAGTACATTTTCCGAGAGATCAAAAGATCAAATTGTTCTATGCTTCTCGTTACTTAATTTTTTTCCTTTATAATATTATTCTCTTACTTGTTTATTTATTTAAGTCAATTGCTATTATTCCTTTCCATTTAATCGTTTATTTAATGGTTTATTATTGTTTTAGGTATTTCTTTTTTATTTAATTAAAAAGGTCAACATTTTATCGCAGCCGATTATTAATTAGCGTTACCGGTGTGCCATAAATTCAACTTGCGTTTTATGTGTCACAAAAATCTTCTCAGCATTATTCTTCTTATATTGCATCGGCTCGTTGATTGATGTTAAGCCTACGACATTCTTCGCAATCTGGTCCTCCTCTTCGTCCTTTTTCTGCTCTAGATGCGTTGGAGTCCGCAATTTGATTTTTAATCCTTCCGAACTTTCCACGCAATGTTAGTAGCTCTTTATGAGAACAGCTCCTGTCGTTGTGCTGACTGTGCGTTTTACCAATAACTGGCAGCGCCTTGCTGTAATAAAAATTATGTCACGTTGTAATTACGTCACGTTGCAATTATGTCATGTTGTTGTAATTACGTTGGAATTAATTTGACATCGAACACACACTTTTGCCGCAGAATAAGTCCCATTCTGCTCTATCGCATCGTTGACGCGCGTATTCTGAAATATTTTACAATACGTTGCGTTTTAAGCCACAATTATAGATCATTATCAACTCGCCTTTATCAACTATTTTTCTCATATCAGATTATGGCACAGTGTTTGTTATTTTCAATCTATTTCAGATAGAGGTAGATAAAAACAACCGGACACGCACGTGCATCCTGCCGTTTCTGATACTCTTTTCTTTTCTTTTCTTTTTCTTTTTCCACGAGAGACTGTGCGCGATCCATGAAGTCGCGGATCATACTGATGGAGAGGACAGATGGTCTGTCGCGTTACCTTCACCGATCACGGGTTTCACTCTGTTCCGTAATAGGTCAATATCAGAGTATGTTTGATTCACGAATATCTTTAATCCAATCCATCAGAGAGCTCGCGCGCCTGCCGGACGTTGACGAACCGCAACGGTTAAACTGCAACGCTCGCAAGGGGTTCCGCATGATATATTGCTCAGAGATAATACAAACACGATAAGAATGACAGAACAAGTATTTTTCCTCCCACTCTTTCTTACTTCCTATGACTACGACTTATCCAAAGAGCATCTCTATGGTTCCAACACTTTTGCGTTTGTAGTTTACACTTGAATTCTAATAGACCATACTCTTCTGCGCAGATTTCTATTTATATCTGCGCGGTGTTGAATTTCGTTAGTGAAGGTTGCATGGGTAACGAAAAATGCTATAAGTACTAATGTTCGTCATGTTTAGAATCGAATGCAAACCCGGAGAGGAAAATATGAATTTTTATTTCCACGCATGAATAATTCATGAAAATAAAACTAATTATTTTTCTTCTTTCTACGCTCAAAGTCAATGCGTGATTACACGTGTTTCAATAAACAATATTATACTTTTAGTGTATAAAATATAAATTGTCATGTCATTGTCTCTTTAATAATTACTGTCGGATAATTTTCAATATTTACTGCTTAACTTGTAACTAATGTTGTCTACATGGATTTAAATATATTCAGCATATTCATTTTATTTGATTGCAGCGTAGTACATGTAACTATGATAATAGGTCTGTTCGTTTCCGATGAACTTCTTGCATAATTCATCTCTCTCTTTTTCTCTCCATGTTCGAGAAAAAAAGATAAAAGATTTGTGTGTGTGTCTCAAATGACGTTTAGCTAAAAACAGGTCTCTCTCCGACTATCTAAGATAAAAAATATCTTATTGAGGATTTGAAGTTTCCAAGTATGTTTTCGTGTTTTTTTTTTAACATAGATAACTGAAAAATTTATAATTTAAATAAAGGAATCTACTACTATCTCTCTTAACAAGATATTAAATCTACCAACATTTCGCTATTGAAATATGTACTGACATTGGTAGTTATTGATTGTCACAGTTGTAGACATTTATGTGAACACAGTGAATTATAACACAAATACTATAAACTTTTCGCAAATTCAATTGAACGCATTAGTGTGCACAAGTGTACATTAAAGCCGTTGAATACTGATTTAATGTGTAAAAATAAAATGCAAATATTTCGAATTATAAAATACAGATTCCATTTAGAATATAATAAAACATATTGAGAATTTCATGTTCAATTCATTTTTATATGTACATTGAACATACATTTCAACAATACCTTTCCATCTTCGCGTGCAAAGCAAGCCATAGTTTTTTTAATTCTTAAAAATTTATTACCTCCTTTGCTCTCTCTAAATTACTTGAGCAAATCTGTTTTAGGCAATTAAAAACCTTCAAAATCATAAATGTATTAATTATACCTAATTGCCAGTTTGGAGCATGAACAATACTACGACTGAATTGCATTTGTCTGACAAGGTGTTGCTGAGCTTTGACGTCGATTCGGTGATAGTGGTCCTCAATTTTTTGAAGGCTTTCGATACTGTCGATCATAAACTGCTTCTTGTCAAACTTGATTACTACAGTTTATCCCCCTTTGTTCTTTCCTTCCTAATTAATTGTTCCCAGTAAGTCCTTCTCTTCCTACTTTATCTCCTACCCATCCTATCCCATTCAGAGTGCCTCAAGGATCTGGCCTTACATCTCTGCTATTCACAGTGTTCACCGCTGATGATCTGAGCTCCATTCATCTTAGCTCCAAGTTGTTTATATATGCTGATGTCGTTATTTTTTTCTTCTTCCGTCTATCTGAGACTTCTTCAGCCACCGAAATTATAAATTTCTGCGATATGCGGCCGAGTGGGCCGCATCATTTAAAACCCTCAATATTTTCTTTGCTCATCGCTGGATGCTTCTTTCCCTGCATTATCCCGTCTTCCTCCTTTTAATGCTTTTCTTAATTCTGCACATCCTATCAACCTCACAAAAGCTTCTTGTATCTCAGCTCCTTCTTATCTCATTATTTGACTCGTCTGATATGGTTTATATCCCAGTGTTAAACCAACAATGTGCTAAATTCAATTCAAAGTATCCAAAATTCCTATCTTTGTTTTTCTTATAATATCCACAAGTATGATCACATCTCTTCTTTTTATTAAAATGCGGATAGCTAAAAATCTCTTAATGCTTCATCCTTCATTTGTTGTTTTGTGTATCGTCTTCTTCATTTTAACATTCCTTTATGTCTCCATAATCTCTTGCATTTTAACTCCAAATTCTTACAACACCCGATATTATAATTTCTTTTTTTTTCCTGTACATCGTTCTGCCAAGTTTAAAGTCGCTTTCTTCTATATTGTCAAATGTTTCAATATGCTACCTTACATGATATATCATCCGATCTTCCTCATTCCTGTCTTCTTTTTGCAATGCCCTTGCTCGGTTTCTATCGTCTATGAAATGTTAACACGTTCTGGTATTTCCGGTACTATATCTCTGATATTGCAACCTTTCTATCTCTTACTCAGTTTGACATCCGAGAGCAATATCTTTTATTAATTATAACTCTTTTTATATACTTTTTATTTATATACATATATACAGGGTGTCCAGAGACGAACAACGCTTAAGGGGAGATTCCTGAGATTATTTTGAGATGAAAATTCTAATATTAAAATATTGGGGCTATAATAACTTTTGAATTATAAGCATTTAAAATTAACGAATCATATTGTTCTAAAGTTGGCGTTCAAAAGTTATTATAGCCTCAACATTTTGATATTAGAATTTTCGTCTCAAAATGATCTCGAAATAGAATCTCCCCTTAAATGCTGTTTGTCTCTTTCCTGGACACTATGTATACACACACACACACACACACACACGACGCACGCACGCACGCCCGCACGCACGCACGCACACACACATACATTCTTTATTAATATTATAATCTTTTGTTATTATTATTTTATTTCTTTTTCTTAATGTATGTTTTTAATTACTGGTAGATATTGTAACAGTAGTACAGCTGATGCCTTATCAAATTATGTACTTACCCGTTCATATTTATTATATTCAGTGTACTTCTACTTGGCACATAATAAACAAGATGTATAATTTTCACATTAATTTATGTATGATGGCTTTAATGTGCACTAGTGTTCACTGAGTGCATCTAATTGAATTTCACTATTAATCATCTTAATTAAAGGTCTGTTCTTTATCAGCTAAACTAGTGTATACTCGTTATACTTTAAATTTTACATACACACACACGCGCGCGCGCACACACACACACACATACACACACAAATGATTGGATATAACAGGACAACAGGAGTCAAGCATGGCAATTCTTGTGCAAACCAATATGATTAACAAAACAACTTTATTAATAATTAATCCGCTAATAAATAATGTTATATCCAACCATTTTGTATCATTAAGGAGTTTTTAGGAATTAATTTATATTAGGTGTAGTAAAAAGTCATCGCGTATTTTTAAAAGACATCTATCAGTAAAAACCGCAATTACTTTCTTACCAACAATATAAATACATCTTAATAGAGTAAAGTTTCAGCTTTAAAAATCTCTTTTTTAAATTATACGATACGACAATTTTTAATGGAGTTATGAGCAATTAAAGTCAAAATAATTTTTTTATTTAATCCGCGATAACTCAGTAATCAAAAGTCGTAGGAATATTTAAAAAAAACGATTTTGTAGGGAAAGTATCAAGCTTTCACGATATGTAATCGAAAATTTTCTCAAATTCGTTTTGGACACGTTACAAATCCACAAAGTGAGAAGAAAATTTTTCGTCTTTTTCAGCTCGTAGTTTTTGGTATGTAAAAATTATCAA